GTTTCGTCTTCTTTGTATCGCTGAAGCTCTGGCCTTTCACATAGGAAAACCAGAGCTGTGCATACAAAAGAGGATTACTCAACCACTTCTACTGTCTTGGTAACAACTTTTTCTTATTTTATTTTATTTTGATGACTTAATTTTGTTTCTTTGCCTGTTCTTTAATTGCTTATAATTCTTGTATTCATTTAGAACTTTGTTTCTATGTGCATCCTGAGTAAAACTCACTCATCAAACTATTCACATTACATAACTTCTTTTAACAACTGTTTGTGACAACTCATCACCTTTGATACTACCCTAATTTCAATAACATCTAATTTTCTTGACTGATTTTGTATTACGTAACTCCAATTGCCAATCTTTACCTGTTTAGTTAAAATAACTATAAACAATTGCATTTTGTTTGATAAACTTAATGTACACATACATACAAAATAACACATATATATTTGCGATTGTACAGCTAAGAAAATGAATTCACCGAAAAGAGACTCTTCGCTGATCTACGTGTTTTGTTTTCATCAAAGGTATTTCCAGCAGACTACTTCAGACTCTTACCAACAACTATCTTTACTGCATACTGAAGTTGATGAGAAAGAATAAGCGATAAGGAACTCTGGGAACGAACCAACCAAGAACCAAGAACTCAATAAGTTTACAGAAAGAAGTGTAGACGGACTAGACATACACTGGGTAACCGTTGAGTTACATTATGTGCCAGGCCCTTGGGTGGAACACAAAAGGGAAGTGGTGAGTCCCGTGTTCAAGAGTTACATGGAGGAGATCGTGTGAGGGGGAAATGAAAGCTTATAGGGATTTGTGTAGGCAGGTAAAAAGGACTGCAGAGAAAAGGATGAAATGGCAATGAGCAGCTGAAGCCCTGTCTTTCGAACGGAATCCAAGCAACGAATAATAATAATAAAGTAATGCATATATCGAACTCAAGTATCCTGAGGCGAAACACCAGTTTGCCGTTAGGTATTTGTTTTCCTTTAATTGTAGGCCTTCGTTATTATTAAATACTGGTGCATAACATTCATGTTAGCTAGCCTTTAATTATTTATCTTATTTTTAAGGACATTTGGGATTTCTCCATCATCGTTTATGCAGGAGGGCCTTAAAATTTATTTAATACCGCTGGTCATGGATGTTATGCATATACACATCTTTCAGTATAAGTATGGAAACTCAACTACTGGTAACTTCGGAGTTTTGGTAACATGGATCTGTTAATCCAAAAAAATGTGATCGTTTAATAAAGAGAGAAAGGATGAGGGTGAAAATTACTGCACTTTGTTTTGTGTACCACAGTACATATTTATTCAAGTTGTGTCAATATTATCAGACACACAGACGTTGTCAAACTGGATTTAGCACTTTTAAAGCCTTGTTCAAGTTATCAAACTTTACATTTGCACATAAAGTAATAAAAATAAAGTCGAAAACAAAGTAAGAAAAAGAAAATTTAAGTGTTAGAAAAAACTTTGGCATCATAGTAAGATGTAACTTCGTATCAGGTGAACTAATCTGAATTGAAGTAGAATCAAAATTCATAAAACGCTAAAGGGTAGAATAAAAAGTAAAATGCAATTCAAAGCTGTGCTAATAAGTTTAAAGACCACTGATAAAGTACGAATTTATATCAGATGGTTGGAAGCAATCGGCTACAGGAAGCATTCGACCTAGGTTTAGTGCTAGTTGGCATTCACCAGTCAGCAAGGCGTATCTGCAAACTTGAAGGAACTCATGTCCCACCCCTCTGAGATTCGATCCCACCTCATCCACTGCTGCAGTTAGAGACGTTACCACTGAGCTATTCAAGCTAACGGTTGGTCTCCTATAGGACAGTATTGGATACTTTGATTAGACACTAGTCAGTGACCTCATTGAAAACTTGACTGATAGAATTCAGTCTGCACCAAAGATGGGACTAGACACACTACACTAGTCACTGACCAATGTCCAAGCAAAGGTACGAATATGTGTACGTCATTGCCAACTATCCTGAGTCAAGTTATTCAGAGCCTTCAAGCATTGGTTTTGTTTTTCTAGCAAACTTCATCCAAGAAAATCTGTGCATTTATACTTGGACCACATCAATATTTTCTGGCCTCAGAGGTTGGTCTAAGCATCTTTTACTTTCTTTCCAGTGAAATGATAAACAGCGTTACTCGTCGTATTAGTTAAGGCCTGACAAAGTATAACAAATATTTTAACCATCTCAGGTGACAGAGATTTGGAGCGTAATAGTGGAAACTAAACTCCTTTAGCTGAGTTTATATGCTTAACTTCTAAATCTTTTGTGGACTGAATATGCTAGATGCATCCTATTTGACGCCTGGAGCTACGTTAAACTGAAGACTGTGTTTTACATCCATACATAAACCGATATGAAAAGTTTCCGAAGCCATGTATAGAACGATTAAGCTAAACACTAATAGGTTTTATGTATTCCTTCTAATACTTTATCAACCATCAAACCGATACCGACCAATCCAAATTCTCAGTTTAATGGAACCATCAACTCCCTCAACAAAATTACTCCCAACATCAGCAACATACAAGTATTGGTCCCTGTCTTTCTGTAGGTCAGAAACATTAGAATAATGATTTGCCTAAGCGTTTGTCTAATAACCTTAGTAATAAAATACTGCTGAACGGAAAATAACCGATTTCATTACTTAAAAATTATCGAGAAACTTCCATTCATTTTTCTAGACACATAAGGAAGTCATAAAAATACAATTCTTTTGAAAGCACTTTAATTACCACAGTGTTATGTTTTTAAAAGGGATGTCGCCTTGTCTTAAAATAGCTACATTTTTCAGAATTCACTAATCTAATTAGAATTGTCTATAAGTTTCACTTTTGCGCATAATCTAAGTTTTCATCACAAAATAAAGATTAAGCACCGATAAACTATCCTATATAAACTATCACAGTATACTGAAAACCATCGATGTCTAAAGTTTTATTTGTCCTGTCAAAATTAGATGACTGTGCACTATCCTGACAAAAATCGATATCATCTTGTAAAGTCCGACTTTAAAACATAAACGCTTATCTAAGATAAAACATTTTCTGTTGGTCCGGAAACTCAGATATGCTATTCTTATTAACCAAAGCTTACCAAATATGATTTTCCGATCCTAAGTGCTTTCTAAAATATATCAGTAAAATGGCTGCTGCAAGAAGTAAGCTAAATTTTGTGATACTGAACTGCTCCTTATTTACTGTTTGGAAACTATTCATATAGATTCACCTTCAAGGAAAGACAGACTACAGTTTATTGGTTTTCAGGAAGCCAAAGAAAAGTGGCACTATCCAATTTGGAGGAGTTTATATCTCAGTGATATGTTCTAACATATTTATATGCTCGCTTGTGACTTGCTACAGGTTGGAGCTTCCTGGAGTTCTAGTGAGAAGTCGTGACCAGTGAGGTCCAATTAGAAGTCACGTGTGTGGATGGATGTCCCACCAACGATAATAGTTGGGGTCGCGCTAAAATCACGAATTGGTAGAAGTTAGAATTCATGAGCCATTGAATTGGGTCCCAGTGGCTGAATGGTATACGAGCTTGCCTTGTAACCGGAAGGTCCTGGGCTCGAGTCCCAGTGGGTTCGCACTGCCGATGATTCCCAAACTAGGATGAAACAGCAGCTGTCCAGTACTCCCTGGTTTTCAATGGTTCTCTAACTGATATCAGTCCGTGATCAACTCGTAAAACATAACTAGTCCTTACAAACCAAACTATATAAAATTATATGTAAACATTTCAGTTTTAAAAATTAACAGTGATCACATTATTACCGGACAGTGTAGCATATTATGTACGATAATAAGATAGTTAACCAGATACGATATATATACAAAGAAAAACGAATATCACATCGTGATTCATGAGCACATGCTTGTAAAACCTTTATTAAATCATCACTGCAAGGCAGTTTACTGTAGAGGGAGCACTGTCGGCTTCTTCTTAATTTCGCTTTTCAGTTATACATCACAATTTCGAATGAACCGCATGAAATTCGAAACCCACCTTTATATTTGGTTCTCAACATTATCAAAAATCACGCTGGTTCATCTGATTTCCAACGATAGACAATAACAGCTATGTTCATCACACAGGTTGGTAACCTGTAAATCCACTTTGAAAAGTATTCAAAAAGTGAAGTTACTAGTTCATCTCACCTTAACCAGACCTCCATTGGTTAACACTGATCATGAGCTTCTGATCACAGAAGTACATCTGATCTTTGTCTTATTGAAACTGCATATCATATATGATTTTATAAAGTAGACATTTGATAAACACTGAAATCTAATAAAATATAACTTTGAAGGCCCAGATATGATTTAATAAGTTTAGAGGAAACAATCCTTTATAGAAACTAATATGTTTTTCATAAATAATTAAGTAGAAGTTGTAGGAGTCCTGGCATGTAGTTCATTCATGAACTTAGTTAAACGTTTCTATTATTAAATATATTAAATTTTAAGAAAAACTTAGGAGGTTAAAATGAGAAGGTCAAGTTTATAACTTACAACTGTCAGACTTAATATCAAACATTCGATAACTTGATAGGTGGCACTTCAATGAGTGGGACGATTGGTTCTGGATTTAAATCTCAGAGTGATTGGAAGTAATAAACTGCGCTCTACACTCCATTCGTCTGAATATAACCTATCATTGTGTATGCTATTTCGGATAATCTTATATAATATGAAATTAAACCGAAATACATTGTCCAAGTTCTACTCTTTCTCTTTATTATTTTGAGTAGACGGCAACACAGCCATAAGGCGAACCTATGCTTCAATATATATGTATATAACAAAATATTCAGAAGCACAGTATACTCTTCACTATCCCTAGAGAATGATTTACTTTGTTTTCAAGAAGAAGTTAAAAACAAAATGACTATAAAACAAGTACCTATTCAACAAAAGTATTAAAAATGTTTCTTTTAATAAAAAAACCTCAGAAGACTCACTTCATTTTGATTTTCTACAAGAACTTGATCGTATTCATTCAGTGCCACCAAAAATATTATCGAAGTAACATTTTCAAAAGAATGAATCCATTTTCTTCTTTCTGATCTTTGACCGCCTACATCTACAATTCTTCAACAGTTTCAAAGATGAAATTTACAAAAAAAAACAAAAGAATATTTCACAGATGAAGAACTTCTACAAAGTTGAATGAAACTGTTTTGTTACAGGATTTTCATCATGAGCTGACATTAGTTAGAGAACCATTGGGAAACCTTGGAGTACTGGACAGCTGTTTCGTCCTAGTTTGGGACTCTTCATCAGTACGCACCCACCGGAAACTGTTTTGTTTCAAGCAGCAGAGAAGATGTAATACTTACCAAACACCAATTTAGTTAAGTCTTTAGTTTTGTAGAGATATGGTGGATTTCAAGGCTAACGTTTTGTGATTCCTCCAAAAAATATATATGTCAAATTCGACACCGAACCTTCTTTGACTAGTATTTTTTTTATAAGGTTAAGGGTATCAACCCATTGACTGAATGACAAGTACACTCCCTTTGTAACTTGAAAACTCTGGGTTTGACACCTGGTGGGACTTTGCTTGTGTAGTACTGAGATTCTCCAAATAGGAATAAAACAGTAATTGCCTGACTCATACCGTTTAGTGGCAAAGTATATGTTGAAATATTTCCTAAAGTCTAGATGTTCATGTTAATTATGATTATTTCTACTTCATTCTATACTTTGATGTGTACTTTCACAAATGTTATTACTTGTCCAAAATTTGTTTTGTAATTGATCACTTACCTGTTGTTGATCACACATTTATTTGAGTTTAATAATTATTTTTAGGGTGTTGGTATCCAGGGATTCAATTGATATCCAGTTAGACCAATGGGTAATGGATACCTCTTTTGTGTTGGTTCGAGACTGATCAGCAGTACTCACACGTCAAAACAGACCCAGGGCCTTTAGGTTACCAGATGAGCCCACTTACCATTCAACCACCCGGACAGAATCCACAATCATTAGTGACTGACAGAATTATGTGGGTGAATTTCTAGTCATAAGTCATGAACAGTGGGGTTCACTAAATTATGACTTTGGATGACTGTGGTGTTGCACATGGCGAATTGGCGAAAGCTGGGATTCATGGCCACTGTAACCCGTTCCAGCGCCTAGATGGCTATCTGACTCGCTTCATTAAATGTGGAGTCATAGATGCGTACTGCTGGACTGCTTCAGACTAGCACGAAACCGTCATCCAATACTTCCTGGTTTTCAATGGTTTTCCAAATGATGCCAGTTCATTATCTAACTTATTAATTATTTGCCAACACTATGTCTGTTCTTTGTATGTATGCCTACCTTTTATCTCAATATAAGTAATCAGCCGAGAAGTCCAGTGCAAATCCACGAATTCATCTAACTTCCTTCAAAGTTGGGATTTTTAAATTCAACATGGAGAAATTTTCTCCACTTTTTCTGAAGTATACGCGAAATATTCCTTTGAAGTTAATCTGTAGATTAGAATGCCTTTCCCTAACATTAAACTGTCAAAATCAGTTATTTTGTTATTAAGTTTTGTTTCACAGGAAATAACTGTCAACATTTTTATAATGCATCTGAGTTACTTTTAAAGAAAAATATTCCTTTTATATCACTAAAGTGAGTTTATAATCGCAAGGTGAACTGTTTTTTAAACCGTTTGTTTCCTTTTCTTCAAAGTCAAGCTCAGTAATTACCTTAATTTTCACTAGCATCATGTTGTCAGAATTCTAAGGGGCATTTTTCCACTGTGTGCGTCAGTGGCACAGCGGTTAGGACGCTCGCCGACCATGCACATGGTCCGGGGTTCGATCCCCGGCCGACGCACCCCTTTACCTGGCTAAGCCAGTAGTAAGGTTGGTAAAGAGGGAAGGTCGGGCATGAGGCTAGCAACCCCATCCTGTAAAATAAACACTGCTACAGAATCTTCAAGCCTCTAGCTTGAAGCCCTATGTTCCACAGGGAACGTGAAAGAATAAAAAAAATTTTTTTTCCACTGTAAATGAACCACCCTTCAGATAAGATTACTGAGTATAAATACATTTATATATGACCTAAATACGAAAGCCGATTTCAAAAGACTGATTAGTCAAAAAAGAATATTCTTTTGGATAATTGTAATCAACTAATCTTATTGAAGTCAATTGGTAGATGGAGACTATCGGTGGAATCAAGGATGTGCATTTCGTCCTATTCTGAATTCGTCACCAAGATGTACCTAAATTCTCTAGTGAGTGATGATGTTCCCACCGAGGCTATAACCCAGTGCCCATAGTTTCAAACGCCAAAGGGTTAGCCACTGGACCACTTGGGCTACGAGAGCCACCTCTTCAGCGTCGGGTTATATCAATTATTTAGTTCAGTTGTACATTTTCCCGTAGACTGATTGGACCGAAGTGCCCTAAGCACTGGGTTCGAGCCTCGATAGGATCACCATCACTCACTGGGGAATGAAGGTACATCCAGTTGACGAGTCCCAAATAGGGATAAAAGCGCATTCTGGATTCCACTACTAGTTACCATCCACCAGCTGACTTCAGGTTACATGACCAGACATCGTCGAAGCATCTGCACAAGGAGCCGATGTGTCCACCTGAGACCGAGCACTTTGGTCCAATTGATCGACGGGAAAATCTAAAATTGAACTACTAATCTTATTAATTAGGTGTTATTTTTTAAAATTAGTGTTGTCAAAAACAATAATTCTTTCACCATTCATTATTGATATGTAGCTATAAAATCGGACAAAGAAGTTATAAGGAATATTCTCTGTTCACCAATCAGTCATTCGAAAACTGGTTTGTTTAAAAGAAATATTTAAGGAAATACCATCAAAACAGACTTACAAAACTAACCTGAATACAGTTGATTCCAAATTAAAAGGATACTCAATTATGCCTGTTGTTGGTACACGAACCCGTAAAATGTCCTGTAGACTAGGTAAATACTCTGGATCCGCTATCCTGTCGAAATTATCTAAATAGCTAAAGAAGAAAGAAAAGGTTTGATGAATTTCTCTATTGATCCGTTGTTACTATTGTTGCTTCTTTTTATAAAAGTCCACAGATGTAAATTGTAGAGGTATTCATCTAATTTTGTATTTTTTTCAATGAAGATATATGCATATTATTCATTATATTAGCGCAGTAAATACACAAATGTTCTTTGATAGCATTCTCCTCAAAGAAAATGTTCTGCAGATTAGATAAAATCCTATGTGATAAAGCAAACTACGGAATACACGCACTTCTTAAACCTTCGACAGGAAAGTGTAGTTGCTTTGTTGAATGACATGCATTGTTACCGAAAAGAAAAAAGATGCTCAATAATTCACAACTCTCAGCTAAGCTTTGGCATTTTGCATTTTGCAGGTCGGTAAAAGAATTTAATAAATCTTTTATTAACTTGCGCCTAGATAGCTATCTAGATATGTGGTAGTTTCAAAGTCACATATCCTAAAAGGCTTAAGAGTGGGTCCTTATCACAGCAGCGATTTTGATTACCAAATTTTACTCCTCAGATGATTTCACAGATTCTGCTTTCACAATCAAATCAAGTTTTTTATGTTTAAAGATACTGTTTCGTCCTGGTCCGGGACTTATCATCAGTACCCACCCACTGGGGTTCCAATTCAGGACCTTCCGGATGCAACGTAAGCTCATAGACCATTAAGTTACTGGGACCAGACTCAGTGGCCAGCCTATGAATTCTAACTTCTAACAATTCGTTATTTTAGCACTACCGGCAGCAGTCAATGGTGGACCTCGGTGGGAAATCATGACCAATGGAGTCCATTCCGTTGGCAGTGAAGACAAATACTCACCGATGACATTAGCTGGTGTCAGTAGCTCTAAAACTACGAATTAGTAGTAGTTAGAATTTATGCGGGGGCCATTGAGTCAGGTCCCAGAGGCTTAGTGGTCTATGGGCTTGTCTTGTAACTGGGTCTTGGGTTTGAACTCCAATGGGTATGTACTGCCGATGAGTCCCGAAACTTTCAGCTAAGACTGTTACGACCGATGCAAAATCTTCTACATCAGGCGTATATATATGATTCATGCAATAACAGCCTAAAACAAATTCATCCTATTAGTTTCTCCGACAAATTTGAATAATGTTGGATAGGGGTGTACAATTATAGGATTAGTAGGCTAATCTAAAACGTTTCATAACGTGGTGTGAAATTTGATAAGATAGAATTCAATATCGTAAAAAATTCCGGATTTAGAATGACAAGTGGGACAAGCGGAAACAATTCAAAATGATAATAGTAATAACAATAGTCGTAATAATGAGAGAAAGTACATAGATTAACTAAATAAACAAAATAAATAAATGTCTATCCCTCTACGACTAGGGAAAAGAAGGGATAACACAGTGAAAATAGTTTTTGCAATATAAGACTAATTCATCTTGTTTTATAAGTATTTTGTCATCTCGGCGCAACCTGATTAGTAAAACACATAAGTAATCGCTGTGACAATAGTAGGACATACTTTAATTTCGTAAGAGTAGATAGAATAAGTCGTAAACTTGCTGAAGCTGTTGGCATTCAAACACAGAAGTCTGAAATATATTTTCAAAATGGGACTACTGCTAATTTGTGACTACCTAGGTATGCATTGAATTATTCCCTTAAACTCCTGGAACTTTCCAGTTCACTCCTTTTTATAACTTGACTTATAGTTTGCACTCGTTTACTTTCGTACAAGCTTTTACTAATACATCTGTTGTCACTGGTTTCAACTCATTTTGTTTACCTAACCCTTAACATGACTATGTTTAAATTCATAGTGACTGTTTATATATTTTATTAATCCGATTACTTGCTGATGATAACGGCATTATGAAATACAATGAATTCACCCTGTCCCATAATTGTTATTCCCGTTGTGTTGTTTAAACTCAAACGTTACCTATACATAGAGTGAGGCAAGCTGAACGGCTGCACTTCTGTGCAAAGTTCCGCATTGAAACTCAGTCGGTCAGTCTGCCAGTATGCCGATTAGACTTCTTGTACGACGTGTTTTCAAGTGACAGTAAGACAGCTGTACCATCTGTTTCAATCATTTTAAGCTTTAATGAATGCGGTATATTTTTGTCTGAAAACTGAATACCTGCTAGGACTTTGTGTTTTGATTTCAGCTAAAGAAAATAGTGTAAACGATTGTAATACGTGTTCAAAGTTATTAACATTCAGCTGGACAAGTGTAGTTCTCCTCCTCTACTGACTCGAACTATAAATCTTGTTACTGTTACCAAAATAGGTTTATTGACAGTTGACAGAAAGTGTGAAGTAATGGATAACTTCTTTGTATTAAGTAGTTCTGTACAGTTTTTTTAAGATTAATCAGTTTTAACGTTGGACTAATAAACCTTGATATTTATTTACTCCTGTGAGTACAGTAATAGCAATTAATATTTCTCTTACAGGTAGCTGTAGGAAGGTAGCGGCAATACAAGTACATTCATACTTATCTGATAAATAATTAATGAAGATATGAAATTTCCCTATACTTGACAAATCCATTATTATTATTCTCCATCGATGAGTCTTTATTTTTAACTACCTTTTGAAAAACTATCACTTCCTGAAAAAAAATGTTTAAAAAGAACTATTATCTTTAATTGGACACTAGTAACTAGTGAGATGTGTCTAGTCTTTTATTTGGTGCAGACTGAATTCTATCAGTCACGTTTGCAACGTGGCCACCATTCCAGGTAGCTCGACATCACGATGCATATTGATTTGAGGATATTAGATGGTTGGAGGCAATCGGCCAAAGGAAGCATTCGATCTAGGTTTAGTGCTAGTTGGCACTCACCAGCAAGGCGTATCTGAAACCTTGAAGGAACTTATGTCCCTTCTGAGATTCAAACTGCGTCATCCAGTGCTGCAGTCAGAGACGTTACCACTGACCTCCTGTAGGACTGTATTGGATACTTTGATTGGACACTAGTAAAAAGTGTCCAGACAAGCCTTGCTGACGAGTGCCAACTAGCCTGAAACCTAGTTCCAAGGCTTCCTCCCAACTGCCTCAAACCATGTTAGAACTATTATCCACACGAAAAATGTGCAGCCTGAAAGAAACAAAATTTTGCACTAAGTTTATGCTTAGAAATCTATTTTCATCTCTGTGCCATAGCACAAGGTGTTTCGACATACGTTTTAAGGTATTTTAATAAAAAAGACGTCATTTTCCAAGGAATAATGAACATTGCTCCGTTTGCTTGTGTGTGTATGTGCGCATAGCTTAAGCTTTATGCGTGTGACGTTACCCATTATATTGCTGAGTTATTCACAAATAAAACACTGGAATAATAGTTAAAATTCCATTCTAGTTATTAACCTATTTGTTTCATCAACTCGGCGACATGCTGAATGACGTCATGAATGACCTTAGGAATAAACTTTATGCATGTTATCTTGAATGATATTTTCAGATTTAATTTCGTTAAATTAAACATTAGAAAGACCAAGAAAGTAATGGCAAATATCCAAGATAATCTACATTTAAATTAGCTGAATGATGGTCATTAATATTAGTAGTATGAGTAACCTCTCTCTTCCCATTAGAGCGCCTACTGATCAAATGAAAAAAAACAAGCATTTTGCTTTAAGAAATTTAACTGTTGTCTCACTAGATACTTAGAGATTCCGCGGAATATTTATTTTATTTAATCGTATATATAAAGAATAGAATCCAATAATAACTCTACATAATGAATTCTATGAAATTCAGTTCTATTATTTCAGACGAAAGTGCGTTAACCACCCAAGATTTATACGATGAAAAAAAATACTGAAGCAAATCAGATAATTTTTCCTCAAGCTAAATATTTTATTAATGATATATGTTATGTACAGAAAAGAAATGCAAAATGCAACTTACTTTCCTCAATAAAAACTAGAGTACGAAAGGTATAGTGTAGTGAAATACTAGAAAAAGAAAATAAAGCCATTTGTGGAGAGACCAGAACTGGATGGAACAAAGCTAATGTTTACTGGAACAAAATACAATGGGCAGGCAATAAGACAATCATAAACCCTGATTTGATCTCATAATTTTTAAATAACGTCATCAATTCTCTATTGAGTATGTTTTATTCGTCGTTGCTTAGTGCTTATTAGATTTTTGTCGTTGTAATGTTCTCCTGACATTTCTTCTTTAGAGGTTTTTCTAGTAACACAAAAGCCATCATTGACTTTCCTAATATGTAACATGGTATATTCACTTATTATTCATTTGGTTTCCAAATGAGAACGTAGGGATCCAACAGCACGTTTCGATTTCACCCTGTTCTATGCAGTTCCTCTTAGCTGCGTACACAATTTCCTATGAACCTTCATTTCCTCTTCATATGATCTCCCCCAAGTCAGTCTCAGACACCAAACTCGTGGTTTCCCACTCATGTTCTACGAGACAGTTCGGCACTTGGCTCCACTCAAAGGGTGTCTTCAGTCTATGTTTAATCTATCTCCATTTCCTACTGTATATTTGTTAGACGACAGGTTCGTGGTAAATTCATCGCTAGAGTTTCTTGTTACCTGTTCTTTCTGGCCGGGTATCTGATTTTCATCTTGCGACTAGCGATGGCAGTTGGTGGTAGAAGTCTGCGATAGGCTGCTGAAAAAGATTTTCGTAGTGTACACCAAACCCAGACTGTATGAGCGTACCTACAAAATAATTTCACACATGTTTTCCCTTGACAAACTAGAACAAAACAAGAAAATATTGTTCAGGAAGGCTTTTATTCCTTTCCATTACGTTGCTTAGTGACATCATATCAATATCCATCAATTTTTTGATCAATAACTACAGCATTTGAATATTTTTTTTACATTGGATATTATATCGTTCATGGCAATACGCAGCTAAAAAGAACAAACAAAATGTACTGACGTCATTTTATCCCGTACAATATGTATGTTCTTCTTGCTTTGTTCCCGATAGTTATTAACCGATAAGAACACCAGTTAACCTTAATTTGTTTTAATGCCAAGACTTACGTCATGATGTTCTTTTCATGAAGTTTTTGTTCACAGCTAATCCACTTCTTCTACATAAACGTATTTGAATATTTATTTACGTAAACTTTTTTCTATATAAATTTCATACACTCTCTCATAACTTATGTTTCGTTTTCTTGGATGAAAATAAAATTACAGTGAATCTGCTCTACTGAAATTCATAAACCTAATAAATACCAAGGCAGTAATATGATTATGGGCAGAAAATTGTGCTCCAAACATCATTTATCACTGTGTGCTTTTATCAAATAAATTTACTGTGTAATGGAATTATACTCAACCATAGTGCCCAAGTTCTATTCTTTTATCAATGAAATGTAACCTTTTTTCACGTTTTTGATTTTTTATTTTGATTATAGCTTGAAACCACACACTATTTTTGGTAGAAGTATGGAATTTTCAGCATATGATATCGGTAGCCCCGAATTTGCAGGCCGACCATAGATATCAGGTGTGTGTCGGCAGGGGATCGAACCCCGGACCATGTGCATAGTCGGCGAGAATCCTAGCCACTGTGCCACCGACGCACAAAACAATGCTTTAAAGTAGGGAACGAAAAAGTGGGAGAATCTTCTCTTTGCAGAAATATTTTTAATTCTCGTGAAGCAAATCAAATTAGAGTAAATTAAACTAATGGAAGTTATGTATATTTAATGCAGCTTAAAGAAAAATAGAATACTTCACAAGACATAATCTTCCAATATATGCGATTTCAACGTGTGAAGATTCTTAATTCCTTAAGATTACTAGTAAAACTTTTGTTGTTTGGGCAGTGAAACTTGTGTTCTGTAAGATAGTGTTTGTAACAGGTAGGAATTTCAATAAAATTAATAATTAGTCAAAAGAATTACGATAGAATGAAACTTAAATAAAGGAAAACGAAGTAGAAGGAAAAAACTGGCTTCCTTTCAAAGAGAAAATTATCAATCAATGAATGAAAGTTGTCTTCTGATCATTGGACACAATACACAATGGACAAACTTAACTGAAACGGAAAAGCAAGAAGGTCGGCAAAGGTATCTTTTCGGCAATTTCATCCTCAAGGACTGTACTGAAGAAGTTAGAGCTGCACGTTCAAACGAAACTAGTCTAACCTCTACCATGGACTTAATTGTGTTCAGCTCCATAGTTGTTATTTTTCCTTGTTTAATTCTTTTCATCTTCTTATCTTCAGCTACAGAAGCTGTTATTTCAATCCTTTTGTCACAACTTCAAGCTTTCATATCAGGTTAAAAGTTATTAGTCACCTTCGTTACTATGGTGAAGTAAATAATCATTAAAATTATACGTAATGATGTATAAAAATGCTACTGAAAGGCCTTTTAGGAGGAAATTGCAGAAAAGATACCTTTGCTGAGCCTTCTGCTTTTTTCTCACTAATATCATGAAGGATATTTTTTACGAATTCACATTTAAGTAGTTTAAATACTTGATAGAAAAATATCACAGACATTTCCTTTTATAAACTATCATAACTTACTATTTGGATGAGTCGGTTAACTGAAATTCTCTTCTGCGTTCATAACATTCCTTCATTCCAGGATCAGCCCATAATTGATGAATTGCTTCTATTTGTTCAGCTGACAGTGTAACTGCACTTTCAGGATCGACTTCTTGTATAAGTTGCATGTTATTCTAATGTCAGTAACAACAGAGTGTAGGCAGATTTTAAACATCTATACCATAAATATGTATATATATATATATATACATCACATTCTACTTGGGCTTTTGGGACTCTCTAAAAACTATCATCAGTCAGAAGGCTTGATGCTTTAGATCTAAATAATTGACATATGGATAGAACATGGTCATCAGTCATACTTTCTCCGACAGTACGAGGTATACCGGTTTTGTTATTTTAAAAATATAATTTTCTTCACTGAGATTAAAAGACTAAGTACTCACTGACACACTCTCTTCAGAAAATTCAGCTTCATATATTTTTCCATAGGATATGTTGGTAACATGAGGGTAAAGAAACCTATAATTTGGATGTTCATCGCAAACTCAGTTTTCAGTATTCTCAAGATCCACCACTGTACTTGATCTGTTTTCAAAATACCTTTGTTATTCAACAGTTTATTTAGGTGTTACATTACGACTAATTCTTCAACCTGTTTGAGTGAATTTCTTATCTAACTGTAGTGCTTTAGTATTAAAGATATGACAGTTATTTAAACCTAGTTAGTCGTAACCTATCACTATTATGCTGCCATCCAGTGTTGAAGCTTACGGAAAATAACATATTCCTGAGTGACGGATCAGTATAAACTTCATATTTTTCTGTCTCATTACTCTGACATATATTTTCCCCATATTATTAAATAAACTCACCTGATTTCCAGAAATTTTTAATTCAACTGAAAGTAGACTTAGAGCGTCAAACATCGTGTGCATTGCTAGAAAAATATTCTGATAAATTAAAGCAATGAAAGCCTGTTTATCTGAATCTGTATAACCAGCTCCATGTATAATTCTCATTTGTTTAACAAAAGTACTTTTACCAGATTCACCAGTACCTGTATGAAAAAAAGATAAACAGCCTTGCAATTATTTTTCGTTAAACTATTCGGTCTGCTAAAAATGCTCCCAAAAGTTAAAAAGTTTTGCAACACTTGTACATGCTTTCACTAATGTTTATGCAAGAAGTCAATAAGTTGAGTTTTCAGCAGATGGTCTTTGTAGGTAGATGAATTATTCAAACTGACTTCCTGTCATTGACATATTCCAAGAGGAGTTTGCTAACCGAAACTTAGTCAAACAACTAGCTTTTGAGGAAAGATATTTTAATTCCCTACATTTTATTAAAAAATCTGCCATAATGCCATAGAAATAGATAACCATTTTTTCTGTTAACTTAAACTGAGACCTGTATTCTTATCGACAATTTTGCTAGCCTGCAAACTTTTTCAGTGACTGTGAATCTAGCCTATTGCGTTACATCAGCTGATGTCATACTGGCCTACTTCAGAGGCTTCTGTAAATTCCCTAGTAGCTTCTTATTACCTCACTCTGTTGCCTTTATTTCTTCTGATTTCAGTCATTGTTATCAATATCCACTGATACGAATGATTAAGTCTGATGTCTTTGGTTAATTATTCATTAACTTAAGTAGGGGGACTAAGAAGGCCTACATATAGTGTATTTCTCAACTAACAAAGTTTGCGTTTATCTTTGGCGCGGCACCTTTTAATTCATGAAACATAAACTGAAGAGACTATAAACAATGGTAACCACGATAGCTTCCAACAACCTAACAGTGACAAGGTAGATAATTATTTTGAAAATAGCGCTGAAAATTTCGTTTAAAATAGTACTAAAAGTTTCGTAGCTTAACGTTTCAGTATAAATGAGACAACAACACTAAAGTGTGAAAAAAATTTCATCTTTTATGTTGTACAGAATAATTAACGCACATAGGATAGTTAGTATAAAATAATGTGAATTTTCCCCTGTGCTTTCATAGCTGCAAGAAGCACTTCCCATTATTTCTGTATTTTAGACAAAATGAGGTGTAAACTTCTCCTTTGAAATGCTTGTGACGAAATGTTTGACATAGTATACACTAGTAACTACTCATTGTCACCAGAGACGGAAAGTATAAACATTTTTTCGTCGGATAGTTCAACCACTTATACAAATTAGTTTAGAGAAACACCGTTATGAACATTTTATTCCTTACGGCAATTAATCCATTGTCTATTCTGGAAATGTATGGGGACAATAAATATGCATTTTAGATAACTTTTGGTTGCTTTATAGTTCCACCAGATATCACTTATATGATTAGTGACATTCTATAGAGAAGTTATTCCAACATTTCTGTGTTTCTAAAAGGGAAATTATGAAAGTGTAACGTGAACTGAAGTTATTTTGTTCATAACATAGGACAAATGTCACTTCGAATAAAATGCTTCCTATATTCACTTAATAAACTTAGTTACAAGTTTAAAAATCTCAAATTAATGTAAGGTTTTGAAGCAGTAGGCTTTAACATCACTTTATTATACTTATGACTGGAATAACCATATAAACTGGTCAAGTAATAATCAGGTTTTTCATAATTCATAAAAACAACACCCAGGAGTTCATTATGGGGATAATTTCGATGTTTGATATACATCATCTGACTGTTTTGTAAATAAAGCTTTATTATAATTATAAGTAAGCGATGGAAACTAAGTCTTCATCAATACATAATGAACTGTATTAAGTCAGATACGCCATTTTCTAAGTCAAAGTTACTTCACCCTTGTTATCATTTCTGTGAAACTTATTTATTTATTCTTTATGATTTATATAAGAATTAGTTCCTTTTATGAATTTCAGTAAGACGATAATAAGGCATAGTTTACCCGAGGCGTGTAATGTATTGGTGCAAAGCGCTTCGAACATTCTGAATCACACATAACTGTCATGTAAAATTTATACATAGGAAAAAAGATGCAAATAATAATCTCACGGTCATTGTCACAGATGGAACGAAAGGATAAGATTAATTCCCAAGTAACTCTTGGTTTTAGAGCTGAATTTCCAAGAGAGATTTATAACAATAACTTTAAGACATCAAGTACACAATCTACTGTTCACGTCAACTTGGTGTACTTATGACACCGAAACACTGTATGGTATATTTGACCAGTAAATTACGCTGAATCATTCATTTCCAGAAAATCTGCTGGGATATTATTAGTTTTGTTTCTCTGTTGGATCAGACATTCAAGTGCATGATGTACCCCCTCCCTAATGTTTTAATTTCTTTGTTGTTTTAACGTGTACACATACAGAGTGGTTTTGATGCTATTTTTGTGCTTTTCCACTGTGTTGTCAACACGGGCATTCTTTAAGTTTGAAGTACAACCATATTTATTAAATAAATTCTCGATCTCTTTGTCTAAATAATCTTGACTTTCCACTTTACGCAAATACACTGCCCGTCAGAGCACATTTCCAATTAACTGAGTCTTTTTAATTTGTGTGTGTTGTCGTCAGCGCTTACAAGTTAGGTAGAGTGCCGATTTATTGCGTAACTAGGCAAATTATTTTTAGTAGGGGCTTATGCAGTTTAACTTGTCAACAGCGCCACCAGTACCCTACAAGTGCATAATGGAAAGTATTTTCACTCGTCACATTCTTTAGGATCATCATCAAAATGAAACTTCGTCTTGCATTGATTAACATAACAGAAAATTAGCCAGTGAGATGTCTACTAGATTTTGAAATGAATCTTAATATAGGTGAAAATAAATCCGTAGAATAAACCCAAAACTACTGCTAATAAACCAGAGACTAAAGAAGTTGTAAAACATTATCACTTGATTCAGTTAAACCGATGGAATGATTTTCTGTAAATTATCACTTGGTAAATATTAAATAATTTTAACTACTATGAAAGAATTATAGTCGTGAATCTACACCATTTGGAGATTCATTAAAAACCAAAGGGCACTAGGCAACTGTTTCACCCGAGTTTACCACTCTTCAGTAGTGTGCACTGATGATAGCAGAAGAGTTTGAACTCAAGATCTTTAGATTACGAGAGGATTTTGTTAACCTTTCGGCTAGTTGGATTGGGATCCAAATACTCGTATTTTCTAACCCCTATTAATTTACGATAAACCACCACCGCCATTCATTGCCATCAATGAGTCATTGGGATTCAATCCGGTGGCTGGATGGTAAACTGACTCGCCTTATAACCTAAAGCTTCTATGTTTATTATATGGTTGAGTCACAGGTGCAAATTTCTGAAACATCTCAAACTCCCTTACTGATTTCCGTTCGTGACAAAATCTGCGTCGGAACAAATTAAAATCCCTACAAAACCGAAAATCTTAAATAGATTTTGTTAAACAAAAACATTTAATATTCCTAAAACTAAGCCACATATAACCCTAATGATGCTTTCAGAAATAAGTTTGAATTTATTCTTAGCCTTTTTCACATATATGTGACTGCATGTTAAGAATTTTAGACATTTCATACATTAAACACTATTAGGTTCACATGTACTATATACCTGAAGAACTTTCTAACATGTAATGGCAACTTATGTTTTGATTGTTTTGGGGAGCATATGAGTATTAAAGTCAGTAATATAAGAAATGCGGTAATCACACTATACATTCAATAAGCTAACTGATAAAAAGGCGGTTATTGTATTCATATGAACGCATACTGTGTAATGCATAGTAGTTAATCAGCAGTTAAACTATCTTTATAGAGGTAACTTATTTCCATAAGAATATTGTCACTCCATGAAGTCACATAGTAGAGTTGCCATCAGAGAATAAACACTTTGTGTCGAGAGTTTCACTATTATAAATAATTCAAGTACCATTGTACCTAACTATCCAATATTTGAATGTGAATGTTTTACTAAAATTTATGACAAAAAACTCACCGAGAAGTAATAATTTCACTTCTTTTCTACCTGCACTTTTGTCTTTGTGTAGCTGACGTTCAATCTCCCGACTGATTCTCTGTTGCTCTCTAGCTTCTTCTGATAAACAGCAGGACATTTGATGAAATAAAAACACTAATCTATTGCTGAAATAATAACTATTTATCAGAGTATTTATATAGGGGTAGATTCTACAGATACATATATGACTTCACACTATTGGAAACAGTAGAAAGACAATCCCTTCTCGTATTATCTTCAATATGTTTGGACACGCCCTGAATATCCGACTTTTTAAATCAAATATATAGAGAAACCAAGGGATTATTGTGGTTTTCAAGTAATTTGATAAAATGATTTCTGATTTCATATGACTTTTATTCAGCTGACATAATTTTGGTACAGTTTTCGACACTTCTACTGCTCAAGTAAGCCATGTGAGATGGTCTTGCATGGTCAGATTGATTTACTGTTGTGAGATAGTGATTAGAGTTGAGATGGAAACCTGTCACCATAGCAGTCAGACTAGTAACTTTTGATTTAGGGGTTCTGTCTCCTAGGGTTATACTGAGAATGTATGTCGGTGGTATTTTAATGTTCGCATTTTTCGTTGGTCACCTAGTAACAGATTGAACCAATCAACTGGGAGACAGATAGTCTAAAATAAACTCTAGTTAACGAAATTAATTTATTCTTTGAAAATTCACTCAATTTAAACTGAGCATGATTTGTTTTCGCCTTTATTTGTATTCCCCGTTAATTATGTTAGAGGGGAATTTTTTGGTGCCTGTTGAGATGTCCTCTCCTAGTAGATACACTTCGACGATGTCTTCCAATTAATGTGGATTTCTTTTGGTTGATAGTGGTTAGCAGTGGAATACAGGATGGTCCTATTTGGGACTAGTCAGTTAGATGTACATGCATACTCAATGAGTGATAGGGTTCCCCATTAAGACTCGGATCCTGCACCTATCCTTTCAAACGCCAAAGTGATATCCACCGTGCCATGATGAGCGTCTGGAAGGGTTGAGAGTTTCGAAGGGGACACCATCACACACTAGCGATGTGCGTAAATCCG